AAAAAAAAAAAAAAAAAAAAAAACGAGGGCAATGACTCATCCACATTTGATAGGTGCTTTCATGTTAAACAAACACTTCTATACACATTGTGTTCCTCAAGCCTCACAAATACATCATGATTTAGGGGCTGAGTCTCATTTTATGGACAAGGCAGCTGTCTCAGGAGAGTTTAAATGAATCATCAAAGGTCACCGAGGGAGTAATAACTTAGGTAAAAAGCCCCTGTATTTGTAGAGTGGAAACCTTGGTTCCAGTTACCAAGATTGGTAATTACCTGTTCAATAGAAAAACCTCAGTCAAAGCATTAAAGAACAAAGGATGCATATGAACATTTCATTTTAACTTAAAACTTAAAATGTTCATTCTTCACTGATGCTTTGATGAAGTTGGCCTGTTGGTCCAACATGGGCTCGATTGTATAGACCACCTTCAGAATTCACTGTCCTCAAATTGCAGTGGCCATTTCTTTATACTGAACACAAACTTATAAACACGTGTAAAGCAGTGTGACCGCAGCACATAGCTTTTCCCTCAAATATTTTATCTTGTCCACACCTAATTTTGCAAATATTTTAAGCTACCTGTCTTTATCAGCTTTTGTTCGGCAAATAATTGTGTTTTCCTTTTACACTCATAATTTATTGATTCACATATTTCATTCAATTATGTGCTTAGAATAGCAAGTGACACTGAAAAAAACAGGTTTGGAACAAAGACACTTGCTTTTTGGAAAGAAACTGATGGCAACAGAAATTGGAGGTACAAGAAAGTGGCCCACTTACTCTGAGTGGTCAGCATTTCCTGGGCCTCAGTTAACATGCTTTATAGAATGGAGAGTCTCCATTAATCGCAGAAGTTAGTTAGTGGAGTGGGTTAAGAGAGCTTCTGCTACATAGCACTTGACAGTATAAAAGGTATTCTTATATCTTCAAAACAGCCTGTGTATATAGTGGATTACATTAACCCAGTTTTACACATATGATAATGGCCACCATCCCTTAAGTGCTTATTATTGACTTAAGTACTGTACATTCATTACTTCCTGTACTCCTCACAGCAACCCTGGGATGTGGGCTTATTTATTATATTCCAGGTTCACAGGGGAGTAAACTGATGCTTAGAAAAATTAAGCAACTTGCCCAATGCTACCCAGCTAGGAAATGAAGGAACTAGAACTCACACGCCAGAAAGTTTGACTGTCCAGGAGGCTTCATAGCTAGTCCTTGAACATCAGACCAAGGATAGTTCCTCTAAGGTTGGGGCTCCTAAGGAGTCTTCTTGGGAAGGTTTCTTGAAGAAGGACGGGTGGTATGTGTAATATGTGGGGAGTCTTCTGGATAACTTTTCCTGGGTTTTCTGTGTTCTCTCTCCAGGTTCTGTCCCCCATGGCCAATGGCTTATTCCACAAAGCCATCATGGAGAGTGGAGTGGCCATCATTCCTTACATGAAGGCCTCTGATAACGAGAGGAACAAGGATGTAGGTATATTGCTAACACCTCTCGATTTTCCTCTCCTTGGTCAGGAAGGAGTGTGGTCAGGAATCTGCTTTTCACCATGGTCTCGGCTTTCTTCACTGACTGTGCCTCCAGAACCTGATACTGGCTCAAGGTGAAACTTCCTCTCCTGTGGAATGTCTGGTTCAACAGGAAATGGGTCCAGCTATGCAATGCAACACAGCTCGTGTGTGTGTGTTACAGCTTTTATACCTTATCCGTTATTTATTTATTTATTTATTTATTTTGCTTGTGATATATAACTCAGTCCCCTGTGTTACATATAGCTCCTTTCCTATACCTACTCCACAGGGAATGACTTCCTAGAGTGCCATGTCCAGACGATCCTGAGGCTGTTTCCAGTTCAGTGGGAAAGAACACGATGACTGATGAATGCTGGCTGGCATGGGATTTTGTGGGGGAGGTGGGAGATATGTCCCACATATTTGTTACCTGTCATTTTGTGTTATCCTTCTACTAGATAGTGAGGACCTGTTTGGTGTGTATTTTTGTTGTTGTTATTTGCTGTCGAGTTGGCCCCGACTCATAGCGACCCCTCCTTGGGTTTCCGAGGCAGTATCACTACGGAAGTAGGATTGCCCAACCTTCCTTCCAAGGAGTGGCTGGTGGGTTTGAACCACCAGCCTTCTGGTTAGCAGTCAAGTGCCTTAGGCGCTATGCTACCAGAGCTCCTGGTGTGTATTAGGCAACTATAAATGTTTGCTGAATGAATGAGCTAATGAATGAGCTGATTTATTCAATGCATATTAATTAAGCACTGGGCCATGGAGTCATTTGCTGCATATTATTCATTTTAGTGGTGGTGCATTTTCTTCAACACCTTTTAGAAGGAAAAAACATGCAGAATCATAGATTTATAAAATTGGAAAAATACTTTCAATACAACAGGGAACATTAAATATGGTAACATTATACATAGAGCTACTTTCGGTTCGTGCATATATGCATGCATTCACCATACACTTATTGAGCACCTGTTGTTTTTTCCTGATCTATGTTAGGATCTGTTAAGTGGAGAAGGCTTATTCGAAATTCAAGGAAACTAAAATCTTTGTATTGCACATGTTTTTACCCTAGAATCCATGTTTAGGTTGGGGGAGTGGTCTTTGCCCTCCTCACAATTGTATGCGGACTCTACGTGTTTGTGTGTTTTTCTAGTGAGAGGGTCTTCTGTAACTTTCACTGCATTCTCAGAACATTCATGACTCCCAGAGGATTAAGGACCGTCACTTTCAGGGTACGAGTCTACATATATGGAAAGTTCAACAATAGGACAAGAAGGCGTTTGGTCAAGGGCTAGGTGGGGAAGGGGATCCTTGGGGTGATAGATCAGAGCGGATTGCCATGTTCTGAAAGAATGTCCTGGAGGAGGTGGGATCTAAGCCTTAAAGGACAAGTGGAATTGCTACAGAGATGGAAGGAAGGTGCCAGGGCATTCCAGCATGGGGTGGGCAGCGGGTCTAGGGCAGAGCTGGCCAACTGAGCATCTGATCTGGAGTCTGCTTCGGTGGCAGTTAAGGGGCTAGCCAAGGTCCTCCTCACTCTCAGGGCTTTCCATGGCTCCATGTAACACCCAAGGTTGGACTGCTTGGCTCCAGAGGGCCCAGTGTCAGTGGAGCCAAGGTCACAGGACTGGTCTTTCTGTGACCCAGGAATTTTGACTCCATTCATGACCACAGACTGACAATTCCCTGCCCCAAGGCCTGGTGTTTGCTAAAGTCAAGGAAGAGAAGAAGGATGATGCAGTGACAACCTGTCCCCATTGCCATTTTCTCAATGTGTAAATTCCATTATAGGCACACGAAGAGGGGCGGGTAGCAGATTGGACTTCATATATGAAGGACGAGCCTGTGGTTGGGTTAAGGACTCCACCCAACTTCTTTTCTTCTGGGTGATTTCAGGATCATGCTCTCTCTCTGATCTTGTCTTTCTCTGGAGCAGCTGCAGTTTATTGCGCGTATCTGTGGTTGTAACGTGTCAGACTCCGTGGCCCTGCTGCAGTGCCTGAGGGCAAAATCCTCTGAGGAGTTGCTGAGCCTCAGCCAGGTGAAGAGGGAGGGGAGGGTTTGGGGCAGACTTGCCCTTTGAATGGAATGGTGGGCATTTTCTGCTGGAAAAAAAATCTTACCACCTTATAACTTTCTTTGATCCGGGAGTTGGAAAAGAGGGGGATTTGGGATTTGTGGCAATAGCTATAAAAACAATGTGGGATATAAAACCCTTCTAGGCATCTAAGGAACTTGGCGAAGCAGAGGTGCTACTTAGCCTGGAGAAATCCAGCAAAATTCAAGGATTGCCTCCAAGTCATTGAGGGTATCTTATTGGGAAGAGAGATCACACTTGTTCCATGTGCCTCTGGAAGCTAAAGTCAAGATCAAGAGCTGGAAGCTCGATTAGGAAGCCATTTTGGCTGGATATAACCGAGAACTTTCTAAAACCTAAGTTGTCTGAAAAGTGACTGGGCTTCTTTAGAAGGCAGTGAGATACCCACCTCTGCAGGTATTCAAGCAAAGTCTAGATGACCAGTGACAAAATTTTCATTGCCAGATGGTTAATTGGACTGGGTGCTCTTTTATGTCACTTCCAATCTCAAGAGCCTTTGATAGTCTTTAAAAGAGCCAGGCCAGTCTCTGTCAGATTCTGACATTTGTTAAATAGTTATTGGCATGTGATGAGAATCTGCTATGAGCCAGACATGGTGCTCAGTGCCTGAGTCCATGAAGATGGATAATAAGCCCTTGGATTGATGTAGCATGAAAGCCCTTTTGTATGCTGTCTTCTATCCCCACACCCAAAACAGAAACCTGAAAAAAAAAATCATGACTTGAGTCAGATGTTGCTTTGTGAGACCCAAGAAATACCCAGCCACATTCAAAGCAAAGTGTTATCTGGAAGGTATCTCAGAAGGGTGCCCATACCACACCCCATTCTCCTGGCCACGTCCTCACCTCATCACTTGGCCCATTCCGTTTGACCAGTGGTTCTCTAACTGGGGTGTGCATCAGAGTCACCCAGAGGGTTTCTTAAAATAAGTTTTCTGGATTGCACCCTAGTGTTTCTGACTCAGTAGACCTGGTGTGGGATCTAAGGAGCTCTGGTGGCTTAGTGGTTAAAGCATTTAGTTGCTAACCAAAAGATCAGTGATTTGAACCCACCAGCCTCTCCACAGGAGAAAGATGAAGCAGCAGACTTCCATAAATATTACAGCCTTGGAACCCCTATGGGGCTACTCTGTCCTGAAGAGTCACTATGTGTTGGAATTGACTTGGTGGCAGTGGGTTGGGAATGTGGTCTGAGAATTTTCATTTCCAGCAAGTTCCCAGCTGATACTGATGATGTTGTCTGGGAGCCACACTTTGAGAACCAGGGCTCGGGGTCCCTATTTTTTTCTCTGGTAGACTGTTATGATAACCCATTCAGCAGACGAGGAAACGGGCCCGGAAAAGTTGAGTCCCCTTGCCCATGTAAGTGACAGGGCTTGCCAGGCATTGACACATTGGTCTGGGTCAACAGTGGGTTATTTTTTCTTTCCTAGTGAATTTTGACTGCTGCTAGACTGAGTGGGGTCAGCTGGGTTAGGACCTGGGGACAGTAGTTTTTGTGAACAGCAACAGCTCCTGATTTTTCTCCTGTTTCCAATTTCAGAAAACGAAGTCATTCACTCGAGTGATTGATGGTCATTTCTTTCTTGACGATCCTCTAGACATACTGATTCAAAAAGCATTTAATCCAATTCCTTCCATCATTGGCATCAATAACCACGAATGTGGCTACATGCTGCCCATGGTAAGAAGCCTAGCTGTCCTCCCTGCTGCCCAGTAAGCTGTGACAATCTTTCATCTCTGGAAGAGGGTAACTGGGGATTGAGGGGAGTTGCAGACAGCGTCTTCCTTGCTCCTCATCAGGTTTATGGTGAAAAAAGCAACTACATAAAAAGTTGAGAGAGGTTTCATCTATTTGATTTTTGTTAAAGACATTACAAATGATTGTTTCAAATACAAACAGTTATTACTTCAAAGATGAAATTCAGATAGATTGGAGAAATTTCAACCCTTTAAACTTTCATGCCCTGACTTTGTGACTTCCAAGAAGCTCTCAAAGGTTGTACAAGTTGCAAAATTACAAACTCATTTTATTCATTCAACAAGTGTTCACTGAGCCTTTACCAAATGTTCTAAACCCATCTAGACACCAAGGATCCAACGGTTCCTACTCATGAGCTCATGTCCTCAAGAAGAGAGACAGATGAAATGCTAGGTTGAAAAGATGATTTCAGAGAGTGAGGATGCTGTGAAGGACAGAAATTGGAAGAGAAGGCTTCTTTAGTAAGAGAAAGGAGGGTCAGGGAAGGTTCCTCTGAGAAGGGATCATTTAGCTGAGACCTGAATACTGAGAAAAACAAAAAACAATTGCTGTAGAGTCAACCACAATTCATGGTGACGCCACACGTGTGAGAGTAGAACTGCTCCAGGGGGTTTCAATGGCTGGCTTTTTGGCAGTAGATCATCAGGCCTCTCTCCTGAGGTGCCTCTGAGTGGATTTGTATCTGTGACCTTTCAGTTAGCAGTGGGACACAATAACCATTTACACACCGGGGACTCCGAATACTGAGAAGGAGCCATGATTTCTTGACCTTATTGTCTAGGAGGACCCTCCTCATTTGAAATAAACTTTTTGTATCTCCTCAAAACTGTGGAGGTTTCAAATTTACAATACCATCAAAGCTCATTTATCTAGAACAACTTCTTCATATTAAACTGGGGAAGCTAAGGTTAAGAAATGAACTAAAGAGGTTTGAAAAGTTACAAGGAGTCCCTGTGTTCTCCACTACCACTCTCACCTCCGTTTCCACTGCTAGCTTCTCAGAGGCCCTCACTGCAAAAGTCTTATAAAGGAGAGCAATGAGCCTCTAGTCTCAAGATTTTCTAGTTTACCCTTGAGCTTATTGTCACAGTCAAGATGCGGCCTTGCCACAGGATGGCCACTTAGGCTCCATAGACCATAGATATGACAGGGGACTGCCGCCTTTTAGCAAATATGAGAAAGAGACCGACCTGCTGGGGGTGCTCCTACATGTGTCGGCCTGGGGCAGGACAGGTTCCTACTACTCCCTCCCGCCAAGAGATGGATTTGCCTTCTGATGACCAGATGTGCTCACAGAAGACTCCCTGCTTCTCTCCACAGGAGGAGATTCCTGAGATCTTCTGGGGCTCCAACAAGTCTCTCATATTCCACTTGATTCATACCGTCTTGGTGAGTGAGCCCGAGTGACTGTGATTTCCAGACACTTTCTTGTTTCACAGACATCCCTGGGGCCACACTCGGGGTGGCGGGCGGGGAGGAGAAATGTTTCTTGTCTTCATTCATTCATTCATTCGGCCTTTACTAAGTTCAGGCTCACAATGCATGAGCCACATTCCAAAACCTAAAAAAGTTCAAAAAAATCCAAAGATTTTTTTTGTAAGCCACATGGCCACCAAATGTGATCTATACTGATATGTGGCCATTAGTCTTTATTGTCTATTTTCTTTATTTATCTCACTGTCCATGTTTCTCTATGGACACATTAATGCAGGTGCTGCTTTAGGCCCCACTGAGCATGTTATATACTATGTAGCATCTGTACTGAATGATCTCTCTATAGTCTGGAAAGTTCTGGATTCTGAAGCACACCTGGGACTAGGGACTTCACCACATGCCAGCCATGTACTGTGCTGGATGCTACCAAGTCCGAGAACCATCAGTCACATCCTTAATCATTTATTCGTTCTTTCACGGAACAAACATGCCATTAGCAAGTGTTGCTCTATATATTAGCATATAAAGATGGATTCCTCCCTTCCTTTCTTCTTTTTCTCCATGCTTTCTTCCCTTTTACCATGAACATTTCCTCAGTGTGGACTCTGTGCTGGGCTCATGTCATTCATTTCCTCATTAAACAAATGTTTATTGAGAGCCCACAGGGTGTGGCACTGCTCTGGGCCCTGGGGGTGCACTGAGAAGCAGGTATTCTGTTACTCCTGGGCTTGAGGAACTTACAAACTCTTGAGGTGGACAGACAGGAGGAAGCAATTCAGTACAGCATTAGATGAACCAGAGCAGAAGAAATTCCAAGCCCTGTGGGGCCTCCAAGAGGGAGCAGGCAACTCCCCTGGGGAGAAATACCTTGGAGGATGAGTGCAGTTTGACTTGCAGATGCAGGGGCACAGGTGAGAGGAGCCAGAAAAACCCAAAAGGGCCAATTGGGAGCAGAGGGGTGTGAAGAGATCAACTTAGAGGGTCAGCCACAGCAGAGGGGACACCTTGTAGCCTTTTAAAACTATGGATGGAGCATAAACATCATTTCAAGGTCTGGGAACAGATGGAAGGGTGATGTGATTCAATTTCCATTTTAGAAAGAGCTCTCTGTCTGAGGCAGAGGACCCCTCAGGCCTGAAGCTTAAGAGGGGATGTTTGATGCATCTTGGATTCTGACGAGGAGAACTAAGAGATGTTTAAATTATGGCTCTCCCAGGTTGGATTGGAGATGGCTTCATGGAGGAGGGGGTCATCAATTTGGGCCTTAGGAAAGCAGAACATTTGAACAGGAGGACATTTTAGATGGGGAAGGCATCTTGAGCCCAGTCTCAGGGCTGGCAAATAGGTTTTGTGGGGTGGGGTGGGAGTACAGGAAGAGTGGAAAGGCATGCTGGTTCCCCTCAGGCCTGGTAACATGCCATGAGCTGCTTTTCAAATGGTGTGCAGGTCTCACATGCAAAAGGCACACCCTTGTTCCAGAATCCTGGGAGTCTGCACTGTGACTGTCCTATTATCCCTTGCCAGAGACTCCATCCACATAGCTTCCTTAACCACTCAGGCTCCCTCCAGCACAGAGACACCTGCCAGTCACATGGCCAAGCAGCCAGGTCCTAAAACCTCAGTCTGGCCCTCCCTCGCTCTGGACCTGACTAAAACCACCAGATTTCCAGGGACTCAATAAATGAGTTGGAGTAGCGCTCCCCGGTGTGGTAAACGCTGCCTCCAAATTACAAAGAAACTACCGCAGGCTGAGCCTCCACCTTAGTGGGTGGGGCTTGAGGGGCAACAACCTGTCCCAGCATTCCCCCAGAGACCCAGACCCCTAAAAAACGCCACTCATTGGCAGACGTCTGAGTTTCTATGACATTCTCTTTCTACCAGATGGCATCTACACCAAGGGTAAGTTGAGAGAGAGAGAACCCTGGGGGGCAGTCTGGTGCCACATCAAAGAATGCATCGAATGCCCTGTTGAGGCACTTGGGGGGTGGGCCCCACGGAGAACTGACACCTGCTCTGAGGCAGACAGCCTGCTTTCTCTTCCCATCTCACGCAATCCTCTGAACGACCTATTTATTATAGATGAGGGAACAGAGGCTTCAAGAGACCAACCACCATTACCACTGAGTTGATTCAGACTCATGGTGACCCTGTGTATTTCAGAACAGAACTGCACCCCGTTGGGTTTTCAATGGCTGTGACCTTTCTGAAGTGTATCACCAGGTCTTTCTTCTGAGGTACCTCTGGCTGGGTTTGAACCATAAACCTTTCTGTTTGTTAGTAGCCAAGTGCTTCATGGTTTACACCACTCAGGAATTCCAAGAGACCAACTAAAACCAAACCCAATCCAAACCCACTGCCAAGTTGATTCCGACCCATAGCGACTCCCGTTGGGTTTCCGAGGTGGAAGTAGATTGCCTGGTCTTGTTTCCACAGAGTGGCTGGTGGGTTTGAACTACCAACTTTCTGGCTAGCAGTCAGATGCCTTATTTAACACAAAACAATGCAATGCACTGCCGTCCAGTAGGATCCAACTCATAGTGACCCCTCCTTGGGTTTCTGAGGCGGTATCACTACAGAAGTAGATTGCCTAACCTTCCTTCCCAGGAGTGGCTGGTGTGTTGGAACCACCAGCCTTCTGGTTAACAGCCAAATGCCTTAGGCACTACACCACCAGAGCTCCCTCAGATGCCTTAGGCACTAAAATAAGAAAGGGGTGGAGTTAGTGCTGGAACCCAGGAGCAGCTGTGAGACCTGTGTTGTCCCAGAGGGACTCGCCTTCAGAAGGGTCCCTTGCTTGGTTTCATGATTTGCTGTCACCATCTTGAATGTCTTACTAGTTTTGAACAAGGGGCCCTGCTTTTCACTTTGCCGTGGGCCCATAGTTCTGCCCAGGGATGACTGTTTCTGGAACACAATTGGGAGGCTGTGTGATTAGGGGCATGGGATTCGGAGGCAAATACACTTGTGAAAACTCAGATTTCCATCAGTTTGGACAAACCACTTAACCACTCTAAGTATCGTTTCCTCATCTGTGATTTGGGGTCAATCTCACTACCTGCATCATAGGGTTGCCGTGCAGTTTACAAGATAGGACACACATAAAGCCCTCAGAATCACACCTGCGCATGGCGAGTGCTTGCCACGGCGGCTGGTGTGGACCTGGATCTCTGGTGACTGATTTTTTTATTTTTTTAAGTTGTGATTTGGGTGAAAATTTACAGAGCAAATTCACTTTCCATATAGCAGTTCACATACACTTTGTCTCATGACATTGACCGCAATCTACCACAATGCAACAGCTCCCCTCCCACTTCCTCTCGATAGTTACCTCTTCCCTGTGTCCCTCCCTTCATGCACTCCTGCCCCCTGAGCTGTCTCCCTGTGCATAAGCAGTCCTTCTTTCTCCCATGATTGTTTTCTCCAAGGAGTGTATCTACCCCAGGTAAATGTTCAACTCATGTGCCTGTCTATTGTTTGGCTGGAAGCCACAGGTGTGGGTTCAATTCCAGACCTGAAGGGCAGCTAGGGGCCATAGTCTCAGTGGTTCCACCAGGCTCTATCAGACCAGCAAACCTGGTCCCCCCTCTCCCTTTTTTTTTTTCTCCAAATGATTTTGAGTTTTGTTCCACATTGTTCTCCCTCTCTATCCAGGATCTCCTACATAGATCCCCTTCCAAGTGGTTGACAGTAGTAGCCGGGCACTATCTCGTTCTTCTGGTCTCGTAGTCATATAGGCTGCAGATCAGATGGTGTACCAGTCACTAGGACTAATTGTTTCCATGAATTTTTTGGTTCTCTTCGTTCTTCTTTGCTCTGGATGAGGAGAGACCCATTGTTGCATCTAGATGGCAGCTTGCTAGCTTTTAAGGTCCCAGTCACTACTCGCCAAAGTAGGAGGTGGAACAATGTTTTGTGTAGTATATTATGCCAATTGAGCTTGATGTCCTCTGCAACTGTGGTCCCGGGCCACAGGTTCAACTACTCAGTCCCTCTGGGTAGCTGGTTGTGACCAAGCAGTGACCACAACCTTACCCCTTGTCAGCTCTACTATACACCTGGGAATTCAGATCATACACATAAACTTATAGGACCATTGTCTGCCAACCCTATACATGTTCTTGGGTACACTCCCCACTTCATAGACATACCTAATAGTTTAGCCTGTCCACCCATCTATCCACCCGTATACCCATGTTTCCCTTCACTACAACGCGGTACTGTATGTGCAAAAGGGTTCATCTTTGTTGTCTGTACCTCCCACATACCTCTCTATGTCTTTCTCTTCCTCAATGCCACCATACTGATCACTCACATTTGGTACATTGCCCTTCTCTTCACCCAAATCAATACTTATATCTATCTGTGTTCCCTCCCCTTCCCTCCCACCCCTGGTAACCAACAACAACAACAAAAATTTCCTTCCATAGATAAACGTTTCCTTGACTTTTACAATAACGGACTAATACAGTATTTGTCCTTTTGTGAATGACTTATTTCACTCAGCATAATGTCCTCCAAGTTCATCCATGTTATGCAGTGTTTTGCAGGGTCTACATTGTTCTTTAGCGTTGCATAGTGTTCCATTGTGTGAATGTACCATAGTCTGGTTATCCATTCCTCAGTTGATGGACACCTAGGTTGTTTCCATCTTTTGGCTATTGTAAATAGTGCTGCGATGAACATGGGTGTGCATATGTCTGTTCTTGTCATGGCTCTCACTTCTTTAGGATATATACCTAGTAATGGAATAGCTGGGTCAAATGGTATTTCTAGTTCCAACTTTTGAAGGAATCGCTATACTGCTTTCCACAATGGTTGTATCATTTTACAGTGGTGACTGATTTTTTACAGCACATCCCCAGGCAGTATTTGTACCTCCTGACTGAGGAATACTTCAGAAGCAAGGCCTCCATGGTTGAAATTCGAAACAGTTTTCTGGACTTGCTTGGCGATGTGTTCTTTGTGGTCCCTGGCCTGGTCACAGCTCAGTACCACAGAGGTAAGTCAGAGCACTCCCTTCAGGGCAGTGGCCACAGGGATCCATGTTGTCTGTTGACTGGCCACCCACTACGTTGCTCTGCTCCCTCACTGAGGGGGCTTCCCGAGGGTATCCTGGCCCTAACCTGGTGATGCTGCCTGCCTTTCAGAGTTGGGGAAGATTGATCAGTTTTTGTTGTTTCTGTCCTTTCCTCTTTTTCAGGACAGTGTGGAAACTCCCGCCTTCCCGTAATTTTCTAAGGCCCATCTCTATCTAGTTACCTAGTGCTAATGTAACATGCTAAGCTCTGGTAGCATAGTGGCTAAGACACTTGCCTGCTAACCAGATGGCTGGCGGTTCAAACCCACCAGCCACTCCTCGGAAGGAAGGTTGGGCAATCCTACTTCCGTAGTGATACTGCCTCGGAAACCCAAGGAGGAGTCGCTATGAGTCGGGGCCGACTCGACGGCACATAACAACAACAATGTAACAAATAGGAGCTCTGGTAGCGTAGTGCCTAAGACATCTGACTGCTAACCAGAACGTTGGCGCTTCAAACCCACCGGCCACTCCTCGGAAGGAAGGTTGAGCAATCTACTTCTGTAGTGATATTGCCTCGGAAACCCAAGGAGGGGTGGCTATGAGTCGGGGCTGACTTGACAGCACATAACAACAACAACAACAAATGTTACAAAAAATACTGTAAGTGGGTGGCTTTAGAGAACAAAAATTTGTTTCCTCAAGGTTCTAGAGGCTACAAGTCCAAATCTGGGTCTCAGCCATGTTGATTACTCCTGTGGGCCTCTCTCCTAGTTTCTGGAGTCGCCAGCAATCCTTGGCATTCCTTTGCTTGTAGACAGGTCCTCACGTGGCATCTGTCTCCCCACCATGTGTGTCTCTGTGTCCATTTTACTCTTTTTATAAGACACCACTCAGAAGTGATCAGGTTTCAGACCCACCCTCCTCCAGTATAACCTCATTACCATAACAAGAGAAAATCCCTATTTCCAACAGTGTCATATTTACAGGTGCTAAACCCAAACCAAACCCACTGCCATCAAGTCAGATTCTGACTCACAGCAAAACTACAGGGCAGAGGAGATTTGCCCCATAGGGTTTCCAAGGCTGCAAATCTTTATGACAGCAGACTGTTACATTTTTCTCTCGTGGAGTATGGCTGGTGGGTTTGAACTATTCACCTTTTGGTTAGCAGCTGAATGCTTTAACCACTGCACCACCAGAGCTCCTATTTACAGGTACAGGGGTTAGGATTTCAACATCTCTTTTGGGGGAATACAATTTAATTAACATTAGTCCTACAGATCCCTTTCTCTCAGAGGGTGTCTTCATAAACAGCTGTAAGGAGCAGTGGAGGAATTGTGAAAGACAAGATGAGTTGTGGAGACACAAGCTTTTTCTTTTTTTCTTTCTCTCCCTCTCCTTCTCTCCCTATCTTCTCTCTCCCTCTTTCTTTTCTTCCCAAGAATATTTACTAAGGGCCTACTATGTGCCTGGCACTGTTCCAGGTTCTGTTTGTATCTAGAGGATTGAATCAGGGTCAATGACAGGAGGTCATGTGGTGGTAGATCTTAGCTCAGTATGAGGACGGTTTTGAGCAATGGAACTAATGCCCCCTCAGGCTGCCCTGAGAAGTAATGAGCTGACTGTCACTAGGGGTGTGAAGGCTGTCGTAGCAGGAAACTCCGATGGGAAGGAGGGGATTAGCTTGGTTGGGATTGCCTCTTGCCCATGAGCTTCCCAGGCTGTAGATCTATCTCCAGCATGAGATGGGTGGGGATACAGGGCCGGCTCCGTTCCACCCTGTTTGTGCGCCTGACTTGGGCCCTCTCATGACTTTTGTCAGACGCTGGCGCACCTGTCTACTTCTATGAGTTTCAGCACCGATCCCAGTGCTTTAAAAACACCAGGCCAGCTTTTGTCAAAGCCGATCACACTGACGAAATCCGCTTTGTCTTCGGAGGTGCCTTCCTGAATGGTGACATTGGCATGTTTGGTAAGGAACTGATGTAAGGTCCTGCTCTAGCAGGAACCAGGGCTTTGCAATGGTCATTTCTGTTCAGCTCAATGCCAGGAACCTGGCACTTGGGCTGAGGTGAGAAGAGTCGAGTTCCCTGCTGTGAACAGCAAGCCCCCAGCCAGCCCAGCCCACTGCTCCTGTGAACCTGGAGGACTGAAGAGCTGGGGTTTACCCTCCTCCCATGGTTACAGTTATGGCATTTCTCTGGAAACCCTCCCACTCTTATTTTTAGGAAGCAAGGCGAAAAAGCTGACAACATTCCTCTGATAAGTGTTTCTCTTTTCACTGAAGTCTGTGGAGGTGGGCTGCTTGAGGCAATCTAGCAATCTAATTTTTTTTCCTGATGGTAACCACTCTCTTCCTTCTTGCTGACCAAACTTGCAGAGGTCACCACCCTGGGGTTCAAAGGGCAGGGTTCACATTTTCACAATTCTAGCCCAAAGTGACCTGGATCCAGATAAAACCCATACTTGTTGCCAGTTGAGTTAATTCTGACTCATAACAACCCTGTAGAACAGAGTAGAACTACCCCCACTGGGTTCCCAAGGCTGTAATCTTTATGGAAGCAGCCCGCCACTTCTTTCTCCAGTGGAGCGCTGCTGGGTTCGAACCACCAACCACTCGGTTAGCGGCCAAGTGCTAATCACTGTACAACCAGGGTTCCTTCCTGGATCCAGGTGATATATTATAAATGCTATGAACCGCTACTCATGATGTTGCTGAACTTACAATACATTCAATGCTTAAAATTATTAGCCCAATTAGATTATCAATAAAAAAAAAATTACAGGAACTATACACAGGAGACAGCACTAAAATATTTCATTAAAAACAATACACAATGCCAGTTCTTAATTAATGGCCTCTCTACAACAAGGACAACAAGCCTGTGTTTGTGCACTGCACATCATTCTTTATATTAGTTATTCATACTCATCGTTAAAATACAGACAATGAGCGACACAGCCACCTCTCATAATCCTTGTCATAAGTATTAAGTGAACAACTCTCAGAAAGCACACCGTGAGTGCTTCATGAATGTGAGTTTTGTTGTCACTTACCAGTTCTTACTGGAATCCTATTACATAATAAGCACACGGCCTCTGCACCCTGGAAAAGGATCACAACATACCTATCAGTTTTCTTGATTTCTAGAGAGCTCCAGAAACTCGATGAGAATTGGGCACCCCCGTGGAAACCTAGGGGACCGTTTATGAGAAACAAAAATCCAAGTGGCTTTTAAACAAGAAAGTCCACTCAATGTCACTCATAACAAGGGAACTGCAAACTCAACCAGGCTGAGGAAACTTTTAAAAAAAAATTTTATTGTGATTTGGGTGAAAGTTTACAGAGAAAATTCATTTTCCATACAGCAGTTCACACACATTTATCTTTCATGACACTGACTGCGATTCCCCAAATGTAACAGCTCTCTTCCCACTCCCTCCCCATAGTTACCTCTTCCCTGTGTCCTCCCATGCACTCTCACCCCACAAGCTGTCTCCCTGTGCAAACACTGCCCTTCTGTTCTCCTACTAGTGATCGCTCTAAGGAGTGTATCTACCTGATATAAATATTCACCTCATATGTCAGTTTATTGTTTGGCTGGGAGCCATGGAAGTGAGTTCAGTTCCAGACATGAAGGAGCCATGGTCTCAAGGGTCTCACCAGGCTATAATAGACCAGTAAATCTGGTCTTTTTTTTTTTTTTTTGATTTTGAGTTTTCTGAGGTACCATTTTTCATCAGTCAGGTTGGGAAGGAAACAATGCACCCCAGCAGGTGTGCAGAAACACTCTCACACATTAATGGCAAACACTATCAACGTTTAAAACGCATGTAGTCTTTAACCTAGCAATTCCACTCCTAAGATTCTTTGCATAATTATACTTTCATGTGTACAAAATATATGTGCATTTATTTTACCACCTAGATTGCAAACAACCTAAAGACCCAGCCACACAGTACCAGATATATGAATTCTATCTATGTTGAATAGATATTATATATTCATTATAAATTTTTATAAGTAAACATTATCCTCATTATATTTATAGAATAATATGTGTAAATAAATAGCAGCTTTATAAGAGTTCTGGTGGTGTAGTGCCTAAGGTACTTGACTACTAACCAGAAGCTGGCGGTTCAAACCCATAAGCCACTCCTTGGAAGGAAGATTGGGCAATCTACTTCCATAGCGATACCACCTCAGAAATCCAAGGAGGGGTCACTATGAGTTGAATTGACTTGATGGCAGTGAGTTTGGGTTGTTTTTTATAAATAGGTGATAATATGGAACTACCTCCTAGGTACCATTTCAGTAAAAAGAGCAAGATGCCCAATATAGTATCAAGTGATCAAGTGTGCAAAAAAGAGTTCATTTATACAATTGAACGTGCTTAACTTATCTTTAAAAGTGTATTTAAGAAGCTGGTAATAGTAGTTGTCTCTCAACCTGGTAACTGGGTATCTGGAAGGAAACTTACTTTCGTTAGATATGCTTTCTGCATTTGGGATTTTATACCTTAACCAAATGCTACCTTTTCAAATACAGAATATGGTCATTGATAGTTTGCAGAAGGGAGAGAGACATGCACACACAGAGGGGGGTGGTCTCTGTCCCCGAGGAACGTCAGCCTCACCGGAGTGGTCTGGAAGCCATTGGAAGCCATGATTGCTAGGGCCTGAGCCTCAGTATCTGCACACACAAAACGGGTACAAGTATTTGTGGGCTTGCAAGGACTCAAGGGGAGGAGAGGTATGAAAGTGATTGATCAGAAGTTAGACACCTTGGGCCTCAGCGGATCACTGTGAACAGCTGAAGTGTGTGATTATCTCCTTCAGAGGAAGCCACAAACGAGGAGAAGCTACTGAGCAAGAAGATGATGAAATACTGGGCTAACTTTGCACGCACCGGGTAAGTGAGCCTTTGGTCCCCCCACCCCAGTGTGTCTGAGGAGGAAAATCTCACCCATTTCTACTCTCACTTCCAGGAATCCCAACGGGGAAAGCTTGCCTCTGTGGCCAGTCTACAATCAGGCTGAGCAGTACCTACAGCTGGATTTGAACATAAGGGTCGGGGAGAGACTGAAAGAGCCGAAAGTGAAGTTTTGGACAAGTACCCTACCCCTGATCATGTCCACTTCTGGAGCTCTGCTCAGTCCTCTTTCTTCCCTGAGCTTGTTTTCTCTGTTCCTGTCTTTCTTTTTCTTTTTTGCTCCTGGGGAGGTTATTGTTCTGTGATCTGGGATTTCTACTTCTCCTCTAATTTCTCCCACAGTCATTAGCTTCATTCTAAGTCTGGCTGCTTTCTGTGGAGATTTTTGTAGAACAAGCTGGTTTAGCTGATGTTGTACGGACATGAGAGTTGTCCTTGTGGAAGTCTTTTAACATTAAAAAGGTGCACTTTGGGTTATAAGGCTACCAGACTTCCTCAGAAAATCTGGAGGAAGATTGGTCTACCAGTGGGCATGATACTGATCTTGTCACTCATTTGAAATAAAATTAGAATGTAAAGTGTGTACAGATGTCTTAGCCATCTAGTGCTGTTGTAACAGAAATACCACAAATGGATGGCTTTAACAAACAGACATTAATTCTCTTACAGTTTGTTGTCATTGTTATGTGCCATCGAGTCGGTCCCGACTCATAGTGACCCCTCCTTGGGTTTCCGAGGCAGTATCACTATGGAAGTAGATTGCCCCATCTTCCTTCCAAGGAGTGGCTGGTGGGTTTGA